TGTTCAGAATCCAGCTTCTCCTCCGCCATCTTCCCGGAACTCTACACTATGGAATTCTATGCCTCCATCAGAAAGAATGACATTGACCCATTTGTTAGGAAATAGAATGGCTTGGAAAAAATTATATTAAGTGAAGTAAGCCAGGCCCAAAGAAACATAGGTCCCATGTTTTCCATTATTTGCAATAACTAGTATATGTCTGAGTGAAGCAGAAAAGGTCAGATAAGTTGATGTTAGGGAAATGAACCCTAAGATATGTTTTCAAATGTTTTTTTTTCTTTCATGTGATTGTTTCTAACACATTTATAAGATTATTTCTTTGTTGCTTTGTATTTCCCTCCTCCACAGTATAACCCCTGCTTTCACTGTATTTGATGTTGGTATAATTTGTGGAGGGGAAGGGAAAAAACAAATCGTTTAACTAGGGATACAGGTGGACCCATTGCACCAATGAGATGTAAAAGTCGTTATGTCGAAAACAAACTCTACAACGTTGGGGGGGGAGGATGATTGGGTCAGTAGGCTTGTGGGAGGATGGGTAGGAATGGGAAGGGGAAACAAAGGAGGAGGCTACAATGCTTGATAAGAAATGTACTCATTATCTTGCCCATGTAATTGTAACCCCTCTGTACAGTATTTTCACAATAAAACAAACAGAAAACAAAAGAGTGGCAGCCTTGAGCAGAAAAGCTAAGTGAAAGTAAGGGCCTGATTTCAAGCACTAATATTGTCAAAAAAGAAAATGTTCAACCTCAGATCCAAATGATAATACTAATGTTAATACTCAAAGTATGTTTGGCTTTATGATCACAAGGCATATCTGAGTAATCACTTGTCATAAAAAAACACAGTGCTTCAGAGATATCCCTGACTACTTCCCTCATTGCTATGGGTTCTATAGTTAGCACCAGACTCCAAGCTACATAATGAACTGAGAGCATTTTATATGCTAAGCACTAGGCTCATTTACTTGCATTCTCTCTTACCTAACAGAAATAAAACAGTGTTTGGAGGACCGCTCAACTGACAAAGCTAGAGTCAGAATGCCATGTCTACTCTTCCTATGTCACTGGCCTGATGACCCAGAACTCTGCTGTCACTCCACACTGCTTCTTTGCTTATGTACCAACTGTGCCAGGCTACAGGGGGGCCTACATATATTGTGGCTGAACATTACTCTAGGGGTTGTGGTAAAGGCATTTGTTTAGATGATATTAAAATTTAAATCTTGACTTTGAATCAAGCAGATTGCCCTCCATATGTGGGGAGGCTCAACTGATCAGTTGAAAGCCCTAACAGAAGAAAGACTAAGTTTCCCTAAGGAAGAGAATTCAGACTCAAAAATACTTATCCTTGGATCTTTGGCTTGTTGACAGGATCTTGCAAAGTCTGTTCGGCCATGTATCCAGTCTGAATCACTCTTCGAAAAGAAAAATCTATTTCACTCCACAATTCCCATCCTCATCTACAGAAGCAGAGGTGAGCTGAGGTGTTTCCTTCCACACCACACAGGCTGCAACTGACTTTCTTAAAGGGTCAAACTCATTGTGTGTTTTGGAGAAACTATACGGGCTTGAAAAGTTTTCCTAAGTTAGACTTAGATGTTTCTACTTGTAGAACGCCATTATATTCTCCTTAGGGAGAGAGAATATGGAATACACCAAGCAACTGAGGTCTTATGTATATTAATCTTTAAGAAAAGTCTCCCCACAGAGGTAATAAAAAGGAGAGGTGGTGTTACCCATTATTTCCATATTGACCATTTGTTTCAGCCCTGAGTGTAACTGTGCTGGTCTCTAACTACTGTGACTATCCTCATTGCTTTCTCATCAATATTCAGCTCCTTATTTGGGTCTCACTCTCTCATACATATTTTATAACGTCAGTTCAACAGGCTCATGCAGCCTCAGTGTTATCCTTCGTTATCAAGGAGATGGCTTAAAAGTTACACCCTACTGGAAGCTCACTGCCGGGCTCACAGGCAGTTCTTCATAAAAGGTCAGCCCCAGGCCTCTCTGGCTAGAAGCTGAGTGGTGGGTTCTTATTCACTATATTGAGATCAGACAGGACTTGTGTGATAACAACTGTGATCCAATGTTCAGTCTCGGGGTACATCTTATATCTAGTCCCTTTCATTCCAGGAAGGAAGTGGCTTCTCTGGAGATAGTGCTCTTTACTTTCTGGTTAGAATTTTTCTGAATTCATGTACACCAGCTCCCTGGTGATTGTGAATTTGAAAGCTCTCAAGAGTTAGGTTGCAGCTCTCCATTAGCAAGGAATTGGGGCATCCTCAAAAAAGCATTAACACGCAAAGCATCCATGTTCCCCAGCTAGCCTTCTGATGATTGCCTCCAGTGCAGCAGTGAACAGACAGGCTTCTGTTCTCAGCAAAGCACCTGGCAATGGCCAGCTCACACTGCCTTCTGGCGAGGTGTCCAGGAATGGTCACTTCTATGCTCCGCTCATTATCCAGCAGAAGGATATTAAACAACTTGCCAAAGTCTACTTATAACTCTGTTTTATTTCAAAAAGTTTTTAATGTTTATATCAGTACTATGACCTGCAATAAATAAGCAGTGGTTGGTCAAGGGCACACAGCAAAATGCTAGGCTCTATCTAAAATATAAATGCTAATTTTCTTTTATTAGTCAAGGTCACTGAAATGCTTGCATTAGTAAAAGATCACTAGTTAATAGAAACAAGCCAGCCAAGAGAGGAGTAAGGTGATTCCCTGAGGTCACATAGAAACTGAGCACTAGATGGATGTGTCAGCTTTTCTAAATGAATGACTAATATGTCCAAAGGAGGAAAGTTAAAAAAATAATGGAAAGTAAATCTTCTTGCCACCCCAACTACCTAGTTTCTTTTCCCAGAAGAAGTTTCTGTGTTTCATACTGGAGGTGTTCTGTGCATAATAAACCTGTGTGCACTTGCATGTACTGTTATTTTTGTTCCTATGTATCCACACATAGTTATACATATGTATTTATAACAAAACATAATAGTAGCACAGCATATCTACTGCTCTATATCTTGACTTTTTGGGGGTTCTGAGACAGAGACTTGAACTCAGTACTTGATGCTTTCACCCACTGGCTGGCAGTCTACCAACTGAGCCACACCTTCAAACCCTATACTTTGGCTTTCTAAATGAAAAAATGTCTTTAAAATGGCTTTGTGTCATAGGTAACTAACTCATTATTCTTATTGTTTTATTCCATTATTTTTATCATAATTTCTGTAAATATTACCTCTTGCTATTTTCAATCAGTTAGTTTTATAACTGAATCTTTGTGTATGTAACCTTATACTTCAAATACATCATTTTACATGTGTATGAGTCTTTAAAATAATTCTTAAGTAGCCACGTGCCAGTGGTTCATGCTTGTAATCCTAGCTACTCAGGAAGCTGAGATGTGAGGATTGCAGTTCAAAGCCAGCACTGGCAGGAAAGTCCATGAGACTCTTATCTTCAATTAACCACCAGAAAACTGGAAGTGGTGCTGTGGCTCAAGTGGTAGAGCATTAGCCTTGAACTGAAAAGCTCAGGGACAGAGCCCAGGCCCAGAGTTCAAGCCCCACAACCAACCACTGGTGTGAGAACCAGTGGCTCACACATGTAATCGTAGTTACTCATGAGGCTGAGATCTAAGATCTCAAAGCTGGCCTGGGCAGAAAATTCCCCATGTGACTCTCATCTCCAATTAACCACTCAAAAACCAGAAGTGGAGCTGTGGCTTAACTTGGCAGAATGCAAAAGAGCTTAGGGACAGTGCCCAGGCCCTGAGTTCAAGCCCCATAACTGACAACAACAACAACAACAAGGAGAAGAAGGAGAAGGAGAAGAAAGAGAAGAAGGAGAAGGAAGAGAAGAGAAGAAGGAGCAGAAAGGAGAAGAAGGAGAAAGAGAAGGAGAAGGAGAAGAAGGAGAAGGAGAAGGAGAGAGAGATAAAGAGAGAAGAGGAGGAGGAGGAGGAGGAGGAGGAGGAGGAAATTTAAGGGTAATTTGTGGTCATCAGGCACACAAACTTTCAGATTTAATAAGTATCCCTTACTGCTTCCATAAGAAATCTGCCTCTATCATACACTAAATTAGCATATATATATATATATGGGTGTATTTCTGAGTTTGTATTCTGATCCATTCAAGCATCAGAACAGTTTTGCTTTTTCCAACTTTATCATATGTTTTTAATTCTGGAAAGCCACTTCACTGTAATTGCTCATCTTTTCCAGAATTTTTCTATTTTTAAGTGTTTACATGTTACATGAAAATAATAACAGCTAATGAATATTTAGTTCATTCTGTAAGCCAAGCAATAGGCTTGGCACTTTAAATGTATTGTCCAATTATGACAATAATCCTATAAGGTAGACACTAGTATGATTCCTACTTTTCAGAAGAGGAAATTAAGGTTCAGGGTGGCTACAGAAATTGGCTCAATCACATAGCCAGTGACTGGTACAGCTAGAATGTCAACCAAGAGTCTATTCACTCAAATGTTTTGTAATACTGCCATTGACAGTATAAAATTTACTTTGTTGTTTTCTAATTTTTGCGTGTATGTGTTTTATTGTTGCTGCTGCTGTTTTTGAGACAAGGTCTTGGTAGATAGCAAGATTTAAAACTCCAATGTAACCAAGGCTGGCCTCAAATTTATGATCCCTTTACCTTGGCCTATTGGACTAACTTTTTGAGTTGGGTGTTTAATTCATTCATTTTCAGGGGATATCCACTATTGCAATTCAATCATTTTCCTTTGAGCACTGTTGTACCTATATCAAATTCAAGGCTAGACTGGGTTCCATAGTAAAACCGTCTCAGTAAGAACTCTCCCTTCTCCTAAAGAGTAACTCATTTTCCTAAAAGATAATTAGGAATCTAATAGAAAGTAATCAAAAAATGTAAGAAAGTTAATAGCGTGGCACTTGGGGTATGGCCCACCAGTGTACAAAATGAGTCCACCTGCCTCTCCATCCACTGTCATGATGGTGCTTACCTGGGTCCCCTGAACCATCACTATTCCTCTCACTCTCCCCGTCTTCCTGGCCATCTGCATTTTGCTGTGTATGTTGGAGGCTCAGCTTGTGGCAAACCTCGAAAGCCTGCCCCACGGTCCGGACGATTCGCATAGCTTGGCTCTAGGAAGGACAAAGAAGGATAAGAAGAAAACAGAATCTACCAGGGCACAGAATTTAGGATGCTGGGTTCCAGGGACTCACACCTGCAATCTTAGCTACTCAGGAGGCTAAGATCTGAGAGTCAAGGTTCAAAGCCAGCCTGGGCAGACAAATTTGAGAGACTCTTATCTTAAATTAACCAGAAAAAAGTCAGAAGTGGTTATGTGACTCAAATGGTAGAGCACTAACCTTGAGCCAGAGGGAGGGGGGAGGGAGAGGGAGAGGGAGAGAGGCAGGGAGAGAGAAGAGAGAACACAAAGCCCTGAGTTTAAGCCCCAGTAATTGCGTCAAAAAAGAAAGGAAGGATCAAGATGGGTAGGAATGTGTACAGGGCATCTGGTCAGAAAACCAGGCAGCCAACAACCTAAGGTTGTTCATATGTGCACATACTCATAAGGAATACAAAAACACTTTCCATTCCTGAAATACTTCAGAAAATAAAAGCTATTACCACAATTCTGAAACAATCAATCAGCTGAAAAGTCAGATAGCAGCAATGGCAAATATGCCAGTTCTGGACTGAGTCCCAATTTTTCCCACCAATGTACAGACGTAGTTAACTACAGACATAGTTAATATGCTTCAAGACTTTTGTTTCTTTTTTTGCCAACCATGATTAAATGTTCATTGTATCTATCAAACTAAGAATTCAGACCTTCTGTTGTCATTTCAAATGTCAAGTTTTCTGGGAGATCCCACAAACTAAAGTGCTAAGGTGCTTTGAGACCTGGAACCACCCAACAGAACCACCTGAATATTGTTGTCCATGCGCTGGGAACACCATTGGCAGCCATCTGAGTGTAAGGCCAGTGTTCCCCAGTCCTATTCTAAGACATGGTACACCCGAGACTGTTCTGTGGCTACAGCCTCACTTTTGTTCTGTTATTTAACCTCTTCCTTTAAGAGCCCAAGAAGAAAGCTTGTCCCTGGCTGTACTATTCCATTATTTATCTAGGAGAGAAAGGAAGTACAGAGAAGCTGGCCTGGATAGTCTTCAGCAACCTCAGCAAGTTAGGAGGTGGAAGCAAAGGAGGGGCTTCCAAGGCTACTCACAAAGTTGCATCACTATCATTTGATAGTTAGTTACCTTTCATCCTTCAAAATGAGAGAAATGTGAAATCAGAAGTGTTTGAGAGCCTGGGCTGGAAAGGTTGAGCACTCTGCTTCTCTTGTCACAGCAACTCTCAAATATCCCTCCATCCCAGATGGTAGTTTATTTTACTATGACTGTCACCCTACAATTTCAATCTAATATTAGCATGGTTTAAACAATCTGACTTTAGGTCAGCTGTGGCTCTGGTGACAAGCTACAGCACACTGATTGCATTCAAAGCCCCTGATGTGACATCAGCAGTCAGGTAGAGCTTTTCATCAGCACTAGACAGCTGGTATTGTATTACCAAGGCAATAACCACTGTTTAGATAAGTCTATGGGGCCTCATGGAAGGTAAATGCTTGATTACACTTTACCCAAATTCAATTTGCTCCTGTTTGCCATCCTATCTCATGAACCCTTTGGGACTTCAGAATACCATGTGTAGACTGGTTGCTCTAGTCCACTCTGCTGAACTTGCTACTTTTGTTATTTCAAGACAGATTATCTGTGTTAACAGGAGAATGCAGTAAGTCAATCATCATCCACGTATCTATTTCAAATTTTAGTCTACTTCTACTCTTTCTGGAATGTTTCAACACCTTGAAGCAACTGGCACTGGCATTGGCCCATTATGCTAACTATAGAGATATTCTTCAATTTTTTTCTTTTTCCTTCACTTTCTCTGGAAAGACAGATGTTCTTCTTTTTTTTAATTTAATTTAATTTTATTTGTGAACATACTGTACAGAGGAGTTACAATTACATGGGCAGGATAATGCGTACATTTCTTACCAA